TGTAGGTAATCACAAACTATCTGTATTTAATTTCATCACTGCATGCTGTATGCCATATTAGCATGAGTGAGATTACCATGGCTTCCTTAGATACTGTTGCTAGGTCAGTGAAGCCCACCCGCTTTATATGTGGATGTGCACATGTGCACACCAAAATATTGACTTTTTGTCACTTTGCTAGTAAACATCGTTTTTAGTATATTCTAACAACTGATCGAATTTTTGCAACACTGCTTAACTAGAGCTGCCTGTCAATCATGCCAGGTAAATAGATCAGTTGTTAGTGAGGAACTCGTATATCATTCTATTGTTAGAAGTACTTATCGATCGATTCATCCTATCATCACGAGCGTGGAAGTATAGAGTTAAGTATGAGTAATACCTGTGCACGAGTACTCCAGTGTTGCCGAGTGGTTTGAATTTTATGAACAGCTGCAGGATGCGTGTCGGCTTGTCTGCAGGCAGATAGGTAATGACGCTGTCACCAGCAAGGTATGTGCTCTGTCTCACCATATCTGCAGGAATACAGTGTCAAACCTGTGTTAGCCTCGCACATCTACAGAACACCTGTCTATAAAAGACATTTTTGAGTGTTTCCTTTCAGTGACAATGAAACCAACTCTATAGAACAGCCACCTGTCCATAACTGTCACTTTTGGAATTTCCCTTCCGTAGTAGTTATACAGTGAAACCTCTTCTGCATAATGAACACAATATACAAAGGATCGTATTGGCATCTCCTTTAAATAAGTTTTTATATATAATTTTTAATTTTTTTTATAAATGATAGTTTTTGCATCTCCTTTAGATGGCAATTACACTGAAACCATATCTAAACAATAGGCACCCAGCCTGTAAATAACATTTTTTTGTCATTTCTTTGCAGTTATAGATAGGTTTGACTGTATATGAAATCAAATCTGCATCCATTGATGACTACCTCCCCCCCACCTCATCACGTTTCACCTCGGGTGAAAACGTGACCATGATGTGGAGATTGTTCGACCACACACAATGTTCCGCACGATTGTTCCACATTGGAATCGGACGCACGCACCTGGACAAGGAGCGATGAAGCACGTCGCGACCTCGCTGCCAAACCCGGGACACGGAGCGCCACCTACTGGCGACGGCTCGGTGCACGTGCGCTCGCGGTAATGGTGGCCCGAGTCACAGCTAGCCGAGCACTTGCTCCACTCCATCCATCCGGACCAGCCGCCTGCAACTACAAGCACACGACGTGGATGTTCGATATTACCAGGGGTAGATAATCACAGATTTGTCATTATCTACCCCTGATATTACATAGTGACATGTGACAAAAACGATTGCTAACTTAACGAATAATTGACAGGGTGGACGTTTGATATTACCCGGTGACATGCAACAAGAGCGATCGCTTACTTAACGAATAATTGGCAGTGTGCGCATGGACGTTTGATATTACCCAGTGACATGTAACAAGAGCGATTGCTTACTTAACGAATAATTGGCAGTAAGAGAGTGGTGAGTCTATAGCTCCTACCCCAGAGCCCATCCTGCTCCTCGACAGCACCGCCAGCTGTTGTATCTGTGCTAACTGAACTAACAAGTGGCGGTAAGAGAGTGGTGAGTCTATAGCTGCTACCCCAGAGCCCATCCTGCCTCTTAACAGCACCACTGATGGCTGTATCTGTGCTTATTGAACTAACAAGAAACTGTAAGAGAGTCGACAGTCTCTAGCCACAGACCCTGGGTGCATACTGCCCCTGGACAGCACTGCC